ATAAACTCCTCCTAGTGACATGATGATGAAACCCTAGCCCTACCCCTATTGCTAACCTAACTGCAGTATAGATTCTCCATTTGGACCCAAACTTCACAAGTTTGTTAAAAGCCCTGGCCTAATCACATCTAAGTGCCAACATTCAGTCGCTGTTATAGCGTCAACTACTGGCAACAGGAAGTAAGCCTTGTGTGGCGATAGTGATGTGATATGGGTGGCTGTGGCTCAGAGGCAGAGCGGGTCGTTCCTTAATCGGAAGGTTGTGGGTTCGATCCTCAGCTCCTGGTGCCACATGTCAAAGTATCCAGAAATTTCACCTAGCCTCCCTGGTTTGTTATTCTGGTGATTGATTGAAGAACTTCATACAGTATATTTTGACAGCTGTTTGAATGGAATTACCTAAAACTTGCGAGTACTGAGGATGAATTTCAATTTCAGTCATACAATGATTACATTCATCTGTGGAATTCCAGTGATACCAGGTATTATTGTATTAAATACATATGTGTGTATGTGTTTCCTTTTTTGTTCTTTTTAAAATGTAATATTTATATATGTATTTTTTATTTTATTTAAAATGTGTTGTCCTCCTCTATGGGGGCCTACCAGGGCAAACACACTAGAACGGCCCAAAACATTTCCATTAGGAGAAACGTACTGCAGCTTCAGAAATATTACCAATTCAAACACATATGAAAAGTCAAAATAAATACAAACATAATAAAAACAACAGAAATGTGCTACAAATTATTTAAAAATTATACAAAAATATGTTTTACTATAGTTTTAGGTACCCATGTCTTTATTGTATTTGCTTTCCCCTTCTTTATTTGTCAAGAGATACATATAAATAACTCAATTCAGACAGAAAAGTTTTCTAATGTTACATATAATGACAAAAAATATATTGTTTGTGGATTTATCCTTGTAAGAGGACTCTCTGGGTTACATCTTCTCAAAAATAATATAATAATTATTCTAATAAATTAAGCAAATGGAAATACTTAATTTTTAACCTTTTTTTTGCAGAACCCATACTTTGCTGTCAGATGGGCGACTTGTTCTCAAGTTGTTGAAAACCAATACAAATGTTAATGTGTTTGGTATTCCACAACAGTGAAGTGATGACCTGTGAAATAGGAGAGGGTGTGTGCATTGGGAGATGGTTGAGGTTTGACACTGTCTCTCATTCCCATGCCAGTGGAAGCCTGAAACGAATGCTGTTTGACCTTGAAGCTCACACTGAAATACTGTACCTTTAAACCATAGAACATGGACTAAGTTTACCTAAATGCTTTCCTGACAGGACAGACAGTCCAGCTATAATGGGGAAAAAGAAGCTCAGACTAGAGGGTTTAATTTTGAGTGATTCATTTTTGGGCCCTCTTACAAATGTCTAGGGTTGATTGTCCCAAGCACTTCATGGGTCATGTTTTTTACCAGGTCTGGCCATTGTTAAAATTTTTGCAACAAAAACACATCTGTGGCTGGGATTATTATTATGGTTTCAGGGGTTTAAGATTTTATTTAAAATGACACAGTCCCAGCTTGACAACGACTGATCCTGCGCTTCTCATCAGCTGAGGTTTGTAAAGAACACTCTTCATGACAACATGCCATTCATTCATGATTTTTTAAAATCTAATTTTAGTCCTAAATGAACACACAAATGGTCACAGTGCATGGTCACTGCAAAATATGTATTGCAAGCACATACATTTCATCACTCTCTTAAAAATAATGTTTGTATGATACTAATTTCCCAATTACATTGCGATGGAAAATGTAATTGCAGCCAGTGCGTAGTTAGGTATAGGCAACAAGAGCACTTTGATACGGATTGTGGTTTTGATTAAATGTCAGTATAGTAAACTTAACTCAATAAATTAAACTGCCGGCCTGTTATCAGACATTATCAGTCTAACACTGCCTCCTAACCTCTTATAACTGTACCAAGAAAGGACTCAAATGCAAGACTCAAGTAAAATAAAGTTGGCAAAGTCAAAAGGCAGCAAAAATCCAAAGAACTGAGGCACATAAAACACAAAGGAATGCTTGACTCAAAAATGGTGTGCAGGGAATCAGACTCAGGTGCAGGTGATTAGGGTGGGATAAACAATTACTAATGAAGGGAAAACACACAAAGGCAGGAAGTAAGTGGATCTGAAATGGAATAGAGAGGAAGCACACACACAAAAATGGTAATTTCACAAGAAAACAGACTAGAGTAATTAAAAAACTGTGACATAACCAATTTCCATGAGGTAAATTTTCTCTATCACTAGACACACCTGAATCTAACATCATTTTAAATTGACACCCATTTTTATCCATGTAAACATACTGGTTTTGTTTAGTTTTTTAATAGTGAAGTGGAGTAAAATCAAATTACAGTGTTGGGCAGTACTGAGAAGACATGCCATCTATGAACAGCCTTGATAGCCGTGTCTATCTTGGTGTAAGTCAACTCGATGGAGTGGGCTGATTTAAGCCTGGAGCCAGTGAAGTAAAACAAGACACAAGGACTACAGGAAACAACCAAACCAAACACCAAATCATGACAGTAGCCCGAGTCCAAAAAGTCCAGGTGAGTGGAGAGGTCTAGAAGAGGGAGTCAGGGGCAAGTGTCCTGAGAGCTGAAGAGGGACGGAGCAGGAGACCTCAGGTGAATGGCCTTGGGACAGGGCAAAAGTGGAGCTGGAAACCTGAGGCTGAGTCTGGGTGACAGAACTTCTCTGGTGGCCGCAGAAGATGGCAGTGGAACTCCTCTGATGGCTGGCCACAAGGCAGGAGAGCACGACTGGAGGCTGGCAGCTGGAGTGCAGGACTGGAGGCCAGAGGACGGAATGGAGGTCCAGAGACCAGTGACACAAGTGCAACAAACAGATGTCAGACAGTCCACAGACGGAGAACACAGAACAGGTGTCAGGCTGACCACCGATGAGGAACCAGAAATAGATGTCAGCCTGTCTTTGGTAACAGCCAAAAAAAACTCCTCAGATACCCACATATACAAAATCAGTGGTCAGTCTGTATCCAGTTCAGCATGTATCTGATCCACCAACCACTGCTTATTTTATTGAGAATAATAATTTACCATCCTCTTCTCCCACTGAAAGAGACACTACAATGGATACTGAACACACTGAGGTGACAAAATGTAGTTTGTACAGAATACAGCTTCTCTTTATTGATCATATTATTATTATTATTATTATTATTATTATTATTATAGATAAGTAGGCAGAGCTGATGCTGTCCAGATAATTTAATAAAGAAAAACATGCTGGAACATAAACTTACAAGATGACGAGGCAGTAGTCCAAAACAGAAGGAAAAATCCATCAACTGAAAGTGGTAGTGCATACAATGAGAAAACACAAGGGAAAAGGCTGAACACTGATAAAAGACAAACTTGCAAATAAAAAAATAAAACAAGTCAAAAGCTGTACTGTAGTGTAGTGCATTTCAACTGTACAGTATGCAAACTTTCTGTATGCAAGAAATGGCAGGATGTATACAACATTCCCAGTTAACTACCCTATACTCATAAATTATTGGTAAAGTGAGCTTGCCTAATTTATTGTATTAGCTCACTTAAGGTCTTTTTGTTTCCTCTGCTGTAGTTTACTGTACAGCTGTCATAATTATCTTAGAAAATTTACCTAAAGCAGTGCTTAACTAAAATAAAATACAATCAAGTTAATAAAAATGTTGCCAAAGTCGTATGTTGCGTTGGCTGCAGTGGTCTGTGAGACTGTGGGAAAAGAGGGGTCTGTGAGCGAACAGCTTTTCAACTTTCAACTTTCTCAATGTACCATCAAGAGAAAGTCCTAGGACAGCAGCCCTATTATATCCTTAGGCCACTCCCTCTCCAGGTGCAGCCAACTAACTCTAACTCAGATGTTATGGTCAACAATTGGGGCGGCTGTGGCTCAGAGGAAGAGCGGGTCGTTCCTTAATCGGAAGGTTGTGGGTTTGATCCCCGGCTTCTGGTGCCATATGTCGAAGTATCCCTGAGCAAGATACTGAACCCCAAATTGCTCCCGATGCCATGCATCGGTGTGTGAGTGTGTATGAATGTTAGTTTCTGTTCAATGGGCTTTGCCATCACTGAGTGAATGTGTGTGAAAGGATGAAAGTGGCACGTAGTGTAAAAGCACTTTAAGTGGTCGGAAGACTAGAAAGGCGCTATACAAGTACAGGTCCATTTACAATTAAGTTATTAAAATATTGAGGATTGTACAGCTTGAGTTGGAAATATGATCTCTAAATGCTTTCTATTTCTAAATGGGTCAGTTGTTTGTTTTTTGTCTTTTGACCATATATATTTGGTATATCTACACACACATTTTAAAAAGTTTCAATCCTCAGAGCCAAAAAAGCTGCCTTTGGTCAGGTGACATGGAAGCATACAGCACCACCAGAGCAAGACTGAAAGCTGGCATCAAGGAGGCAAAGCAAAGGCACCAAGCAGACACTTTGCAGCCCTACAATAGAGGTGGCTTAACTATGCCAATTTATTACCATTTATCTAACGCCTTCACAATGAAAATGGTATGCGCTACAGGCCCCTTTTCACAAAAACTAAAGACAATTTAATTTGTTCATTTAAACTATACTAAACTAATAGTAATTTTAATGTGGCTAAATTAAAAATTTCTATGAAAATAACAAATTGGACAAACTGTTAAAATGACACTACCTTGTACAGTTCTTCATCGGAATAATGTCATGTTAACTTTCTGTGTCGAACTGCCCACCTCTTCAACGCTGTGCTGCAGTCTAAGCAGGCCTGCAGCTGTCAGCCATCAGGACTTTTTTGGTCATAGGAGAGTCAAGCCAACTTTCACACTTAAGAGTTAGAGTATCTCTAATGGAATAGAACACTGCATGCTGGGGGCCTGCACACTGAAAGTGATCATACATTTCTTGTTGCTTGTGAAGTCTTGAACCTGGAAAGCAAAGGTAGTGGAGAAAGAATACACAAATACATGATGTAAATGTAAATCCACTTTTTAATTTATCTCCATAGAAACAACTGCCAAGAAAAACAAAAAAACAACAACATTGTAATGTAAAATAACTGATAATATGTGCACCGTATCACCAACAAAGGTCAAGATGATAGTTGCATTTAGCAGTCAAGCCAAATATTCAGAATATAGTCATGAAGTTTTCAAAAAAACCTCTCAAAATTTCTTAAAACCAATACACAATATATAGTGATGTTGAAATTTTATACAGAAAGAGAAATAAAAAAAATAATTATTTCAGATATCAGTCATAAAAGATTGTCCTGTTGGGGGGAAACATTAATAGCACAATAGGTAGGATTAGTATACACTATAGGCCTGCTGTACAAAAGTTTTAACATTCCGCACGTTCCATACAAATACATACATTGAAGGCTCCAGTTTGTTTTGTCAATAAAAACAATGTCAGCACCTATTTCACCTGCAGTGTTCTGAATCCTAGTTCCAGACAAACTGGTCTCATGAAATTAATGACCCAGGATTCATTTGGTGCCAATTATAATTTAGCCCACAGAAACCTTCTCCAACCTTCCCTGTTATCCTCAAAAACATTTTATCAAACAAATATCAGATCACTGCTTTTTGAATCCTTTCTCTTTGCTACTCAAATGACCTCTTTCTCGAACAACAACCATATTTCTTCTCTAAAACCTGAGTAAAGCAGGATCTTAATATTTTCTTGCTTAAACCTGAACAACACCCACACTCCAGCAAAAGTCAAGCATTATGAGGTACATGTTTGTGCCCACCATACACCTTTCTTAGGGCATGTTGCATGATCAACTACACCAATGAAGGCCTAATGAAGTGAATGCATTGATTGCAGCAAATCATCTGAAATCATTTAATTTTGCCACAAAATACTGGTTTTAGTAGGCCTTGAATATATTGATATGGTTATGTTGGATACGTCAGAGAGTGAGAGAGAATAAAACTTTATTACACCTTGTCCATGAACATGATTTCTGCCTGATTTTTCATCAGTAATGGTGGTTGTTTAACATTAAAGACAACAACTGCCATACGTATTTTATTATTGTTGTGATGTTAGAGACCCCTGGCAGCATATATTACATACTGCACATTTAAATGATACAGGAAGAACTATGTAATGTTGTGAGATATGTTATTCATTTGCTGGAGAGTGGGTCTAATGTAGTTTTGTAGTTTATCAGTAGGGTTACTCTGTACCTCCTTTGGCTGTCGCTAATTCCAGTTTGCTGCTCCGAGTGACTGCAATGAGTTACAAAAGATGGTAAAACTACACACCTCCATTCATTTACTAACTCATTACAAGCAACAGTTTCTGATCACTGTACCTGCTTTTGAATTTCATTTTTCTGGAACAAAGTTCATAGATCTCTGTTGTTGTATATATTGTGTATGCTGCTATATTGACTTGCACTAGGTGTATGTATCTGTTTTAATTGTTGTATTATCTTGTCTCCTGTTGCTGCCTCTTGGCCAGGATGTCATTATAAATGAAAATTGGTTCTCAATTGACTTATCTGGTTAAATAAAGGTAAAATAAATAAAATAAAAATAAATTTTGAGATCAGACTTTCATACCCTATGCATATGAGCTATGTGCTTTAAAAACACAATGTTGACTCATTCATTTCACCTACAGTAATACAATATCTGTAAGCCCAAGCAATCCTCTACCAGTTACAATAGCACAGCACCATTCATGTTTGCGGTCACATAACAGTGGTCATATCTGGAGTTGTAATTTCAACCAGACGAAGCATCACCTCCTACTACTTTATGTACAGTATGTGTTTCCTAACAGGCACACAACTGCAGACATTTGAGTGCTGATAACAATCAGGCATTCAAGCCTACATCGTCACTGTTCACTCTGCTCGTCTTCCACAACAGTGACAACAAATTCAAGTAAAAAATATTCCAACAAATCACCCCAAGGTCTGCTACCAAACCCTGCCTCTATTCATCCAGTCTGCATCTTATCTAAAAAGCTGTTACCTCCATGTACTTTAATCCCTTTTAAAATAAAGGATATATATATATATATATATATATATATAAAGAAAAATAAAATAAAGTTTCCTCTATATTACAACTACTTAAATACGCACTTGATTAGTATTATCCATAGGCTACTTCCTACCTAATGGCTTTTCATTTCATACATTTTTTGAAAGGTCACTTACTGGTTGTAAGTTACTCCAAACTGGTGCCCAGCTTTAAAAAAAAGCTGTCAGCTGTAAATTCTCAAACCTTCATGCTAGGAAAAAAAAAAGGAAATCCTAATTTGCAAAAAGCTCTAATACGCCACTTTTTCAGTTACATGAAGACAGAAGTCTGTGCATTGAGAATATGTCAGGTGTCACATGATATTCAAGACCCCAACTAATATGCTATTCATATAGGTAGAGGGCTCACCCCGCCTTAAAAGACCAGTGTGTGGGATTTAGTGGCAAATAGTGGTGTAGTTGCTGATTGCAACTCGCTGTCTTACCCACTACTTCCTTGCATGTAGGAGAACCTACCGTGGTTGTGAAATGCCTAAAATAAAGTGAAAGGCCCTATCTAGAGTGAGTGTTTGGTTTAACCATTCTGGGCTACTGTAGAAACATGGTGGTTCAACATGGCAAACTCTGTGGAAGAGGACCTATGGTGTCTCTAGATGTAAAAGGCTCATTCTAAAGTAACAAAAACAGTTATTACTATTGCATCATTATACAGTAATAAAAACATAGTTGTCAATATTATATTCAATTTCTGCCATATTCTGCAAATAGAGCCCCTAAATTATACACACTGGACCTTTAAAGAACACCCCATTTAAATTTGGACACACTGGAATGACTGCCAGAATGCTATATACAGTATCTGATTTTCCGTTTTTTGTTCAGTGTTAAGTTAATCTTGGTGATAGTGTTTTCTGTTAACTACTAGCTATGTTGTTCCTATGTAGTTTACAGCTAATAATTGGATTTTTCTGCTGAAGATGCTGTTCATATGTGTTGTAGTCTAACAAGAAAGAAAGAAGAAATTATTTCCCTGCAGACAGTGGACAGCACTAAATTCCCAGTGACGGAATGAAGAAGACACATGTCAGTGATGTTTCTTAAGATCCTAAAAACAAATGGGAAATTTTTATTAAATTATCTTAAATAATTAAATTATTGCTTTAACTTCTGCATTCCATTTCAAACTGTCAACAGTTACTCACAACTAATGTGACTAGTACACACACTATACTAATAACATTTTACTCCAAAATTTGCCAATATCTGCATGCTAAAATAGGCACCACAATCATATTATAACAAAAATACACTAAATCTGGCAATCAGGGTAGAAATATATTTAAGACAATGCTTTTTCTTCTCCTAACGTAAACTTAATTAAGAGTTCAAATATAACTCTCTAAACCTTTCATCCAAATACAAACATATTCATCATGGCATCATTCATATTAGTGGTGACTAATTTCAAACGACAAATACTCAATTTTGAAACCACCATTCACACATCAATTAAAAACATCTGAAAAATGTTCCTCATAAATCATTGATCTTAATAAAATTGCTTTTTCCAAAGTTGTTGAAAAATGCAGTTAGGAAACACAAAATGGAAGCTAAGCTTGCACTCTGCTTTTACAGTGTGTTATTTTTTTCACAGTAATGCTTTATTTCACATGACTGTGATTCCCTAATTATTTCATGTAGAAACATTCACATGCAGTAATTTTGGATTGCTTTAGTAATACAAATTATTGAACAATGACTGAAAATGAATCATGAGGCCACTGTTACCCAGAACCATGCCATCATATTGAGCAACTATTAGAATGTCTCTGACAAAATCCATGTTAATAATACATAAACAGTAGAAAATAGACTGGTAATTCCTGGCAAATAATATAATTACTCAGCTTAATCAGCAAACCATTATTTTTTTGCTTAAAGCTGCAAAATGCAAGTTTTCACATTCAAATATGAATAAATAAATTATGTATATTTGGCATTATAGCTCTGTGTTTTGTAATATATATGCTGGGAAGGTAAAATACCTATTGATTGTCACTCATAGAGGATTCCTTCGATGGTCTGTATTATCATTGTTTTATATAATAATTTGGCAATGGCAATAGCAATAACAGCAAAAATAAATATAAATATACAAACTAAAATTGTACAGTCTTTTCCAGAGTGGCCAGAAACACACACAATCTTGTGTGCTTAAAACTAAACTTAAAAGCCCTCCAGCAAAAGTAGATCTAAACATCAGCTCTAAGCAGAAGAGAGAAAAAAAACAACACAATACTTTTCTCAGACTGAAATTCTCAGTACAATTACATAGTTGCAACTAAATGTGTTGCATATTCAAAAATGTTGTATGCTTTAAATTTTATATTTTAAACAAAACAAAACAAAAAAAATTACCAGTAAGTCGTTTTGTACATGGATCACATGTTTTCGTACACTGGTACATTTCACAAGTGTCTGTCATTGTGCAGTGTAGCACACATTCAGGATTCCACTTTAAAGGTCCAGTGTGAAACATTTAGGAGGATCGTATGTTTTGATTAGTGTATAATCACCTGAAAATAACAACTGATGTGTTTTTCGTTACCTTTATCTACAGTGGTAACAGATCCTCTTCTGGGCCACCATGTTTCTCCAACAAACAATCCAAACACCGGCTCTAGATAGGGACTTTAGAGTTTTTTTTGCAAGTTTCTCCTACACAGGCTGCACAGTTTTCAAATTTGCTAGATGCCACTAAATCCCACAAACTGAACCTTTAACATCACGTTTTACCTTGAACATACCCCCTTCAAATATTTTGAAAAATGACTTATTACGGCCCTGCTAACATTAATTTATTTAAAGTTTCACAGACAACATATTACATTTGCTTTCCTATAATATTTGCTCCATTAACTACAGCACTGTTCAACAAATACAGCTGGTCTATCTATGCTCTGCTTTTGCATAACTGCAAACCTACAACTACTTACTCTTGATCTCTCCTTATATTACAATTCCAAGAGTTACACATGATTCTATAAATACTTGACTGCCGTAGACATTATGTATGGATTTCAATATTCTGTGGCCATCAGGAAGAATAAAGCAGAACTACCTGATCAGAACACAGCTAACTTCCCATTTTATGTATATCATATAGAGGGGGAGCATCTTGTACCAAGTATCAACTACTCTTGAATCAGACCAAAGCAGACTAGAAATTTGAAGATGTAATTTTCTTATTTTGGTTTAGTTGATCAACGCCACAGACATTCACAGTGAGGTGAACCAGGTCAGATCTGGTAGCTTTCAATCCAGGCATTTAACAGTGATTTTGTAAAATTCAATTGTGACTGTCATCCAACTGCCACTGCATTCCACTCTACTGTGTGCATCTACAGTGCACTGCAATGCTTGTGAAATGCCTTCACAGCAGTTACTGACTTTACTCACATCCACACAGTATTCCTACTAAGAATTCAGATCTTCTGATTGAAAATACACTTCAATTTTACTATACAGCCCCAATTCCAAACATTTCCTTCCAATTCACTGCTGATGTTTCACCATGGGACTGAAATTATGAATTTGAGAAATTCAAGTCATACAAATTTGAAATTAAAGGACCAGTGTGTATGATTGAATGGCATCTAGTGGTGAAGTTGCAAATTGGAAACAACTCAACACTGCTCCTGTCAGTAATTGGGAATGAGAATGGGCTGTGAAGTGTGTAGAAGAAACTAAAGTGGCCATGAAACTTGCGACAAATGTGAAAGGCCCTAACAAGGAGCAATTGTTTGAGAAATCTGTTCTGGGCTACTGTAGAAACATGGCAGTTACACACTGGACCTATAAAGCCACCTTTAAACCCAACTGCACAATAAAAAAAAAATCTGCCTCTGTGAGTCTAGCTAACTCCTAGTTTGATATTGTAAATATTCAATAACTTGAAACTGAGGTAAAACTAAATGTACTAAATTGTGCTTAGTTTCATCTATCAATTATAGAACCAGTGTGTAGGATTCAGCTGCATCAAGTGGTGAAACTGCAGACTGAGACCAACTAAAAACCACTCACCTTCTAAGCATGTAGGAAAACATACGGTGGCCACGAAACTCGCAGGAAGCCTATCTAGAGCCAGTGTTTGATTTGTCTGTTCTGGGCTTCTGTAGAAACATGAGGGTTCAACATTGCAGACTCTGTAGAAGAGGACCCACTCCCTCTGTAGATAAAAAACGCTCGTTCCAGGTAATGAAAACAGTGAACAGTGGTCGAGGCAGACGACCACCCATCTAGAGCCGAAGGGTCTGTCCTAGGTTTCTGCCTCTTAACCGGCAGTTTTTCCTTGCCCCCGTGGCCAAGTGCTTGCTCATGGTGGTACTGTTGGGTCTCTGTAAATGTTATAAGGAGTTCGGTCTAGACCTGCTCTATTTGAAAAGTGTCCTGAGATAACTTCTGTTATGAATTGGCGCTATACAAATAAAATTGAATTGAATTGAATTGAATTGAATATTATATGACATTTCTGCCAATTGATCCTCCCCATACTCTGGATTTTAAATAACTCTTTTACATACAAACTAGTAAACAGTTATCATACTCCATACTTGAAAAGAACAAAAAAAACAACATACATTGTTCAGTACTAAGTAACGGTAAAGGTGGTACAAGCAGTGATTGGAAGGAATTTACAAAAAAAAAAAAAAGGAAATGCACTATGGAATAATACTGTTTGCAAAATTGCAGTGACCCTTGTAAAATGAAGCGGAGGTTCAGTTTTCCAAATGTAACTTAATCATTTCATTTGGGAATCTAATCCACTGATTGTCTAATGTGTACCTGATGGTATATATAAATCAGCAGGCGCTGAGACCCACGAAAACAGATATGAAAAGATCAATAGACAGACTGATATAAATAGAGCCACTCTCCCAGTACATGGCAGAGGGAGAATCAGCCAAGCGGTTCACATTCCTGCCTGGGCCCTTCTCACCCACCACCACGTCATTCTGTAAAACGGTAAGGCAGCTGTTGGCTTCCATCAGCTCAAAGTGCACCTCCGAACAGTCCACAACCCACCTACGTATACACACACTCACACTCATGCACAAACAGCAGAACTAAAAATATGTGTAAAATACACTGATATATGCACAAAATTGGTTTCCATCCAAAGTTTTGTTTGTGTGGAATTACGAGAAAAATTGAGTAAAGCTAAAATTAGCAACGGTTCCCTGCCATTGTAAGAACTTTATAAAGCAGATGGTAGCAGGAAATGCATTGATAAAATTAAAAATAAAGGCTTGGCGTGGCTGACAGTTAACAGTTAAATTTAAGTGTACAGTTGAAAATGGACTTTCATAAATGCCACAGCCTGCAAAAGTGTTCTAAATATTGTAACTAGAAAATTTCTTTTTCGGGATTGTATGTAAAAGAATAAACAGTGTGCTTATGTGCTTTGCACATTTGGGCACACTGAATTGGCCTGTTTGATGGTAGTTAAAGTTCATGAAAGCATGGCTTATGAGCAACATTGAAAGTTGAACTGAAGAGCAATAATTACTTTTCCAATACTAATCAACACCGTAAAGAGCTGTCCAATCTCCTAATGGATCATTTAGAAAACAAACTAATCAGCTTGTTGATGTACAGCTTTTAAAAATTTCCTAATTTTGTGAGCAGTGGGATGGAAATTGTGTTTCAGACAGACAAGCACACACATTACAGGCATTTATAGGCAGTATAGGTCTCACACTCACTCACATTCATTGAACTCTTCATGCCTACTGTTATTTCTAACCCTGATAGAAGGGCTCAGGAGCCCCTTTCCAACCAGTGACCACTTGCTTCAGCTGTCACTGCACTCTGAGTGGAGTCACAAATCATCACTGGGGGTGAGGGGGTGGGTGGAGGTTTCATCTTTCTCGCTCTCTGCTCTTTTTCTTCGCTCTCTCCTCCATGTGTTTTTCCCCTCCTTCTTCTTCACCTCCTTCACTCGTCTATTTTTAGTCCTCTGTTTTGCCTGTGTCTGTTGTTCTGACTGGCGCCATTTTAAAAAAAAGGCCCCTTGGGCTGATGGAGAGTAAACAACTCAGGCGACTAGTTCAGATGAGTCCACTGCAGAGTAAGAAAAGTTAGGAATTGGATAAAATTATATTAATACGTTTAGTGACATGACATTCAGTGTTTGCAGCCATATTGCAGCTATTCAGGTATACAGTGGGTACGGAAAGTATTCAGACCCCTTTAAATTTTTCACTCTTTGTTTCATTGCAGCCATTTGCTAAAATCAAAAAAGTTCATTTTATTTCTCATTAATGTACACTCAGCACCCCATCTTGACAGAAAAAAACAGATATGTAGAAATTTTTGCAAATTTATTAAAAAAGAAAAACTGAAATATCACATGGTCATAAGTATTCAGACCCTTTGCTGTGACACTCATATTTAACTCACATGCTGTCCATTTCTTCTGATCCTCCTTGAGATGGTCCTGCTCCTTCATTGGAGTCTAGCTGTGTTTAATTAAACTGATTGGACTTGATTAGGAAAGGCACACACCTGTCTATATAAGACCTTACAGCTCACAGTGCATGTCAGAGCAAATGAGAATCATGAGGTTGAAGGAACTGCCCAAGGAGCTCAGAGACAGAATTGTGGCAAGGCACAGATCTGGCCAAGGTTACAAAAGAATTTCTGCAGCACTCAAGGTTCCTAAGAGCACAGTGGCCTCCATAATCCTTAAGTGGAAGAAGTTTGGGACGACCAGAACTCTTCCTAGACCTGGCCGTCCAGCCAAACTGAGCAATCTTGGGAGAAGAGCCTTGTTGAGAGAGGTAAAGAAGAACCCAAAGATCACTGTGGCTGAGCTCCAGAGATGCAGTAGGGAGATGGGAGAAAGTTCCACAAAGTCAACTATCACTGCAGCCCTCCACCAGTCAGGGCTTTATGGCAGAGTGGCCCGACGGAAGCCTCTCCTCAGTGCAAGACATATGAAAGCCTGCATAGAGTTTGCCAAAAAACACATGAAGGACTCCCAGACTATGAGAAATAAGATTCTCTGGTCTGATGAGACCAAGATTTAACTTTTTGGCGTTAATTCTAAGTAGTATGTGTGGAGAAAACCAGGCACTGCTCATCACCTGCCCAATACAATCCCAACAGTGAAACATGGTGGTGGCAGCATCATGCTATGGTGGTGTTTTTCAGCTGCAGGTACAGGACGACTGGTTGCAATTGAAGGAAAGATAAATGCGGCCAAGTACAGAGATATCCTGGAAGAAAACCTCTTCCAGAGTGCTCAGGACCTCAGACTGGGCCGAAGGTTCACCTTCCAACAAGACAATAACCCTAAGCACACAGCTAAAATAACAAAGGAGTGGCTTCGGAACAACTCTGTGACCATTCTTGACTGGCCCAGCCAGAGCCCTGACCTAAACCCAATTGAGCATCTCTGGAGAGACCTGAAAATGGCTGTCCACCAACGTTCACCATCCAACCTGACAGAACTGGAGAGGATCTGCAAGGAAGAACGGCAGAGGATCCCCAAATCCAGGTGTGAAAAACTTGTTGCATCATTCCCAAGAAGAAGACTCATGTCTGTACTAGCTCAAAAGGGTGCTTCTACTCAATACTGAGCAAAGGGTCTGAATACTTATGACCATGTGATATTTCAGGTTTTCTTTTGTAATAAATTTGCAAAAATTTCTACATTTCTGTTTTTTTTTCTGTCAAGATGGGGTGCTGAGTGTACATTAATGAGAAATAAAATTAACTTTTTTGATTTTAGCAAATGGCTGCAATGAAACAAAGAGTGAAACATTTTAAGGGGTTTGAATACTTTCCGTACCCACTGTATAAAAGTAACTTACTTTGAAAACAAACATGATTCTTTAAACAAAGACTGGATTTTTAAATAAATAATGAAATGAATCATACATATAGATATAGGTGAGGTGTGG